TGGGACCTGAGGGTGTTGAATGGGTGACCTCATGTCCGCAGCCCTAGCGGTCCAGTAGGATCCCATGGTCTGCTCCCCGGGGATCACATCGTGGTTCTGCGGATCACCCATCTCTCCTTCTTCTTCTTCTTCTCCTAACTGCAGCTGTGTTAGCGCCTCCTCCGCAGCCAGTCGCGCCTTTAGAGCCGCTTGAAGTTCCTGCAAGTTCGTTCAAGCTCCTGGTCTAATGGTAGTAGATCTCCCGACTGGCTACGGGTCATGCACTACCTGCACACAATCAGCAGAAGCAACCCGTGAAGGCACACAGGTGGAAGACATAAAATGCAGTAAATAAAAGCTAGAGTAACAAATTCTCACGTTTCCCCAATAATCTAGAGGGTCCCCGGCAACGGCGCCAAAAACTTGACACGCCAAAACACAACACCAAACTGCGACCAAGTGTAATCGCAGTCCGGGAATGCAGTAACAGGCAAGTTTAATTATCAACCCGGGGTCTAGATCTACTGCTTACTCCGCGATTCTCTATTATCTAGCAAACTAGTTCGAGTGATTGTTGTGAAAAGTAAAAGCAACAAGAAAGCAGTAAATTGTTCGGTTTTCTAAAGCAGGCAAGAGTCACTCGGGATTGAGTCCCCCTAGCCCCTTAGTTAGGTTCAAGTGTAATTCCCTGGGTTGATTTACTGTTGATTAGACTGCAGAAGATCCGACGGTAGCTTGGAATCTCTTAAGCTGACCAAGCCCTCTCATTCTAACTACCTGGCAGACGACTAGTCTTCACCGGGATAGAAAGCTGAGGCTATGAACACAGAACTCCACTACTGGCGCCAAGAACACCAGTACAAAGCAGTAAACTGGCTAACTCTCGTATAGCCAATCTCCTACTATCGAATGAAGAGGCTCTAACAACCTAATCAGATTCTATCTATCTCAGGTTGCAGCAGAAATTGAGAAAAGCTGATCAGACTCAAATCAATTCATTAAACATGCGTCATTCGATTAAAATCAAACAGTAATATCATCCCAAGTCATTACAATCAAATCCCTAACACAAGGAACTAGGGTTCTTCATACCCAAGTGAGAGAAGGGTTCTACTCCATAGAGAGAGAAGAGAAAACAAGAATCGGATTAGTCATACTCATAACGATGAGGATAATCTGCTCCGGGACGATGATTATCACTCCTATGACGATCTCCAAGCTCGATTCGATGAAATCCAGCTCTAAGACAGCTTCTAGGATGTGTTCTTCACACTTTCTCTCCCTAGGGCTCTGTTTTTGCTCTCAAAACACGATTCTCCCACTTTTGGCTCGGAATAGGCACTAAAACCAGGCTTTCCCGACTCGCACGGCCAGGGTGCACGGCCGTGCATATCACCCACTTGGCCGTGCACTCCAAAACGCGGCGTAGCCATTAAGTCCGACCTCAGGCTTCTCGCACGGCCAGGGTGCACGGCCGTGCAATCTTCAGGGTCTGCCCGTGCGTGGCCTCGGCATAAGGCGCACGGCCATATTGCTCACGTGCACGGCCGTGCAGCCTCCCTGGTCTGCCCGTGCAGCTCCCCAAAAACCTCGCCATTCGTCCGTTCTTCGTCCAATCAACCCCAGACTCGCTCCTAAGCCTTCATTCACGTACTAGGACCTGAAATATCACAAACAAGCACAACCTAGCGTGAAATCGGCCTAAAACACGAGAATCAACACCTCAAACGGTGTAAGAACGGGGGTAAAAACATGTGTAAATGACGGTCTATCAAAGGTGTTATGTTAAAAGCTAGCTTCCTATTTATACTAGTTACAGAATTAGGTTTTCTAGTCTTCTCCCTTGTAAAGTCGAATATATACTTCCTTATTCAACTTGAACTTGGTTTCCTTTGACTTGTGGATAAAGTAGCTTCTTTAGAGAGTCTTCTAGAGAATTAAGGTTTGAGCATCAAGGGTGCGGCGGTTGGGGTCGATGATTTTTTTCCAATTGGGCTTGGTTGCTTGTCCCACAAGCAACATCTCCTCCGAATTTGGGTACGTCTTTACTTGTATAACTCCAATTGGACCTCGATCAAAGTTGAGCATGTTGCACTACCAGATCTACTTGTTTTGGCATAAAGTGAGCATCTGATGTCAGAATCCATCTCTATTTGAGTCCATGAGCTTGTATTATCGTCCTCCTCCCGATCCATTGGTTCCCTTGGAGATTTGTATCCTTATTCATTGCATTTATCCCTGAAAATCACAAAACAACCCCAAAAGAAATCAAATAGTACAAGAACACATTCAAGTTCTATCATAAAGCTCATTATCCAAATAGTTATAAAATTCATATGAAATATCATCAAACCACTAAAGATGCGTAGATATAAGGGAAAATGAATTAAATATGAGAGTGATAAATACTATAAATAGAGTGTCATCAAGATATTGAACATTCCTTTAGTAAACAACAAGTTGGACCGACTCTCTTAGGCAACTCTTGGTTGTCCATCGATAACTTCACATCAATGATCTAGTGACCGTATACTTTGGTCCGAGATTTATGATAATGTGACACGCTTGAAGTGTGACACCTCCCTTGCCAGTAACGTCACAAACCACTTCCTGTGCAACACTTTAGTTAACTTTCTACCATCAATGACCTCAGGGGGACGGCCACACCGTCATGTCAATTTTTCACTCTATCATGAACCGCTTTTGGGGTTCACCTTGGATGGTTACTAATGGAACTCTTCGATAAGGAACAAACACACTTTTACACATTGCGCTTAACACATTCGGTAAAAACCACCATTCGCATTTAAAACTTACAAATTAATTAAAATAAAATTCATCTTACAAAAAGAATATCATTTTACAACTTTACCATTTTAAAAAATATATTGTTAAAGTTAATAATAATTTCCCAAAATTCATTCACAACTTTACTTTTAGTCATCCCTACAACTACCATTCTATTAATAAAATGTACTGATTTTTCATCACTTTTTTTCTATATTTTTTTACCAGACACAATTCTCGGCAAACTGAAAGAAATTCCAATTTCGCAAATTTCAGAATAAGTACAAAAAATTTATCTTTGTTTTGGGAAGTAGGCAATGGGTCGGGTTGTGTTCAATTTTGTCAAATCTGAACCCAAACCCATGGGTATATCCACACTAAAAAATTTTGGGGTAAATAAAATGGGTTGGAAAAATCAAACCCAACCTAATTCGCTGGGTATTCGCTGTTTTATGGATACCCATGGGTTCTATAAATGCACAATAACTTCATATCAAAATAAAAGTCGAACGTCAATCTTCCCATACAAATTATTCGTAAAAAAACATCAATCTAGAGCATACAAGCAAACCACAAACTATTCATACAAATTGTTCAACATTGAAGATAAAAAAAAAATATCCATAAACAATATAATTAATTGAAAGCTTCTTCACTCTCCACTCCATAATATCAACTTTATTCTATACAATTATGAAGAACAAATTAGATGGGTACGGGTTGGATATGGCTAAACCCGAATCCAACCCAACCCGCAAAATAGTAGAATGGGTTTAAACTCGAACCGGCCTGTAATCTGTTAACACGGGTTTTACCAGTTTTGACCGGGTTGGATCGAGTAGGGTATCCGTGTATAAGGTTATATTGTCATCCCTAGAGCACTAACTACATAATATCAACTTTATTCTATACAATTATGAAGAACAAATTAGTTGGGTACGGGTTGGATATGGCTAAACCCGAATCCAACCCAACCCGCAAAATAGTAGAATGGGTTTAAACTCGAACCGGCCTGTAATATGTCAACACGGGTTTTACCCGTTTTGACCGGGTTGGATCGAGTAGGGTATCCGTGTATAAGGTTATATTGTCATCCCTAGAGCACTAACTACAACTAGGGCTGAGAATCTAGATCAAACCGTATGGGGAACCACGGTCGAGAACATATCGTATGATTTGGTCTGGACCGAGAGACCAGAACTATGGTATGGTTTGGTTTGCAGTATGCTCTTTTAGTGTGTGGTCTGAAGTGGTATAGACCGCGATCTACCACAATAAACCGTGACACATTACCTACTAAGACCAAATTAAACCTCCATTTTTGTATTTGAAGAACATAGTTAGTCGAGTCTTCATATAATTGAGAGCCAACGAATTGCCCAAACGATCGCTTATGCATTATCTCCTTATCAAAGAACCACACAAAAAAAAATTCATAAATAATATTCACCGACAATGTTTAGACTATGAAGTCGATAAAACATAAACACTATAAAAAAGTCATTCACCTTGATGAGAAAAGGAAGATTATTGAGAGATCATGACAGTGATCGACCGGGAGAACCTTCCAAATCACCCTAGAGAGGGAGAGAACCTTCCAAATCACCTACAGGTTCATCAAGCTGCCTCGCTCTAGTTAGAGATGGAAAACAGTGTGATTCAGATGAGAGCAGATCATATATACGGTTTGTGTTCGAGCTGTCAATTCTATTTTCTCGGAAGGTCAACTCCATTGAAAAACAATCTTTTATAGGAATAAAAAAGGATAATTTAAGAGAAAATAAAAACTAGGCGTGAAATTTCCTTAACCGTCCAATTGCCACCACACTCCAGAGACTGATCTGTGTCCCATTTCGTTTCCCCATTTTCAGCGTCTCGCTTGCAAAGCAACAGTTTCTCTATTCTGATTGCACACTCTCCACAGCCACAAAGTACAGCACTTCACTCCTTACTGTTAGCCGGTAAGTTTCCCTTCTCCTTCTCTACTCTTCCTATCCCACTGCCGGCCGCCGGGAGTTCTTATTTTCCGTCAAAATTCTGTAGATTCTCTTAGAAATAACTGCTTCCACACGCAGGGAGTGTGACGCTTCCCAAATGCAGGAATAGGATTCGTGTCGGTACTGGTTCGTGGTTATCAGTCGGTATTAGGAATTGGGCTTCTGTTAACGTCATCAATTTCACTTCATTGTCTTCTGTTGGTTTGTGGGGCCTCTTTGCGATTCGATTCAATCACAATGGCGTCTTCGATTGTGAATGGAGCTGAAAACTTCACTCTCCTTAGAGGGTTTGGCATAGCTCCACGAGGGTTAGGCATAGTGGGTTCAGATTTGCAGGGGAAGATCTTCCCTAAATTGAATCTAGTCTATGTCAATAGGATGTCTAGGTGTGCAACAATGGCGCCTAAGTGCAGCCTATCTGCCTCCAGACCTGCTTCCCAGCCCAGGTTTATACAGCACAAGCAGGAGGCATTCTGGTTTTATAGATTCCTGTCTATTGTCTACGACCATGTGATAAACCCTGGCCACTGGACTGAGGACATGAGGGATGATGCCCTCGAGCCTGCTGACCTCAGTGACCGGAGAATGATTGTGGTGGATGTGGGCGGTGGTACTGGTTTCACCACTCTAGGGATTGCGAAGCACGTTGATGCAAAAAATATCACCATTCTGGACCAGTCTCCGCATCAGCTGGCAAAGGCCAAGCAGAAGGAGCCTCTAAAGGAATGTAAGTTTGTTCTAGGTGACGCTGAAGACCTACCCTTTAAGACTGATTATGCGGATAGATATGTTGCTGCTGGGAGGTAATGTATTTCTTTTAGCGAATTCTATTCACTATTGTGATGCTTGTGTACTTAGACATTTAGGACAGCTTTAAAGATCACAATCCAATAATGAGGTACTGCTTTAAGACTTGACTGTTTAGCGAATCACTTTGAACGACTACATAGAGAATGTGGAATTTGGTTGGCACTTTTAGTAACACCTTTGATCAATATGGTTGCATAGAAACTTTGGTGGACATCCTACAAAGAATCCAACTTCGGTTTTATTCTACCATTGGACAAAGAGTTAAATTCTCTAATTGTGCCTCTAACTGGTAACTACCTTTTGTGAAATTTTGTCAGTATTGGGTACTGGCCTGACCCACAGCGTGGAATCAGAGAGGCAAATAGGGTCTTGAAGCTGGGGGAAAAGCATGTCTAATTGGTCCAGTTTATCCTACATTTTGGATGTCTCGCTTCTTTGCGGATGTCTGGATGCTCTTCCCAACGGAGGAAGAGTACATAGAGTGGTTTACGAAGGCTGGCTTTAAGGATGTTCAGTTGAAGAGGATTGGCCCAAAGTGGTATCGTGGTGTTCGTCGGCATGGACTTATCGTGGGATGTTCAGTCACAGGTGTTAAACCTGCATCTGGAGATTCTCCTTTGCAGGTAATCATCCGTCAACTTTTGTTTTCCCTTCTCTAACCACATCAAGTTGTGGCTTCTTTGGTAAAAGGATTTGTGCAAAGCTAGCGTAGGCTTTGTACGGCAGTTTGGATGTTGTTCTGTTGATACATAGGTAGGCAAGAGCAAGGTGTTGTCCAGAGAGGTCATGGTCCTGGATTTCTTTATAGTTTACTATTGTGATACTTAAAGTTTGTAGTGGGTAAAGGGCCATCATTTTAGGATGTTTCAAATTTCAGACTTAAAAATTTGTTGATCTGAAACTTTAGGTGATTTAAACATGTGATTACAAAAAAATATCATACAAATATGTAAATCTTGAACACTTTTTTTTTAGAAAGTCAAATCTTGAATACACTGAGCATGGATACCTTCCTATTATTTATTTCTCCAGATGGAAGCTTATCAGATTAATAGACATTGTTACTTTGCAGATAAGTCTTTTTCATGCATAAGTCAGCTGATGGTGGACCTTTATCTACACTCTACACTTCATAATTCCTTTTTATGAGTACTTCTTTCAATCACGAGATTGAGGAAAATTTCGTGCTTCCATGATCCTTAAGTCTTATATAATGCATTGCACTTCTGTTGTTTCTTCTTGCTAACATTTCTGGAGTTGTTTTATTGAACAGTTTCTGCATATGAAAATAGCTTCTGACTGAGTTTGGTTTGAATTATGACAGCTTGGTCCAAAGGCTGAGGATGTGTCAAAGCCGGTAAAACCATTTGTGTTCTTGATGCGCTTCCTTTTGGGTGCCATGGCTGCAACATATTATGTATTGGTGCCAATCTACATGTGGATCAAAGATCTGATTGTGCCCAAAGGTATGCCCATCTAAGGAGAAGAAGAATCCTTTGAGTTGTATCTTCGTATGTGCTCTTCTTTCCACACTTGTGAACCTTTCTTTGAGATGTAGTTGTGCGGTTTTGGAAGCTGTCAAAGTAGTTGCGACTTGTGGGATCACATGAATGTTGATGTAGCCTATCTTTCTCAGAACGAAAGCCACACCAGCTATTTAATGTAAAGCAGGCTAATAAGTTCTTTCATGTCTCTTCATTGTTGAATATCATATGGTGATTTCATCAACGATATACCAAGCTACGCATTATAACACTAGCTAACAGATGAATTGATCTATCAGAGTTGGAAGGAAATTTTTGGAGACCTTTTTATGAACATCACAAAGGTAGATCTGGTTTCTAGAGAAGACTAACTATTGAGTTGTCAGCCCAAAGTGTGTTCTCAGCCCAAATGAAAGTACAAGCTTGCATTACAAACCGGCAGTAAGCTTACCGTGAATATCACAGAAAGAAAGAATTACTTGACAGAATAAACCTCCATGGTCTCGTCGTTTCACAGATGGGTTGCCCCATGGGCAGATCTAAACTATAAAAGGGAAAGTGCACCTTATCCGCAGATAGCTAGTTGGTTCTTATGTTTGTATGCTACGCTTTACAATTTACGCTTTTACTTATGTTTCCGTTTCACGTAAAAACGTGAATTTGACTACATTGATTGTCGTCGCTTGCACGCTCTCTTTCGTCATTTCTATCTAGTCTTCTGACGCTCTTTACCACTCACCCTTAAAATCTTATCCAACAGAAAAGAAAGAGTCGGAGTTGTGTGACCCGCCTCTTTCTTACTTCCACTCGTCGCTTCTCAAGTCGAAATGAGTTCGTGTATTGCCGGAGATGGAGGTCGCCTTCAGATTGAACGTCCCCCACATAATTGAGCTCCTTCATTTGTGGTCTTAGAATTGCAGCTCCATCTATGTGTCCACCATCCTTGCCGTGTGAGCATATGCTCACTACTTAACCTATGAGCACCATAACCGAGTGGTAGGGGTGGAGGTTTGGTTACCGGTTTTCGGTTAATCGATCGGTTAAACCGATACCCGATTGGTTATCCACTAACCGATAATCAATATAACCAAAATTCGGTCGGTTATTGAAAGCTGGACCAGATGGTTTTGATCCTGAAGGAGGTGCGGTTAACCGATAACCAACCGTTCGATTACCGGGTATAACCAAAATAACCGAAAATCCACCCCTACCGAGTGCCCGGCAGGTAGGGCTGGCTATTTGGACCGGGACCGGATGAAAAACCGGAAACCGGACCGTATAACCCGGACCGAGACCGGACCGGGACCGGATAGTAAACAATCCAATCCAATCTTTGGGCTTAGATTTGAGGTAAAAAACCGGATAAAGACCGGATAAGAGAGCTCAACACCCAAAACTTAAGGGTAATTTGTATAAACGATCACAAACCTTTGCACTTAGTACAAAACTTAACCAACTCCTCACCCTTTTAGGCCACTCAAATTCCCGCAATCTCAATATAAAATCAAGACCGAATTGGGACCGGACCGGATCAAGACCGGACTGTATCCAATCCAATCTTCGGTCCTTATATTTTCAAAAAAACCGGACTGGACCGGATCAATTTGGGCCAATTTAACCGGACCGGACCGTATAGCCACCCCTACCGGCAGGAGAAGAGCCAAATGATTGCAAAGGCTAACAATACGGACCAGTCATATAATACAGCCAATGGATGGCGGGCAAGAAGGCGAAAAATAGCATGGTTGTCAAACCGGTTTCATGCCGGCCGGTTCAATCGGGTACAACCGGTACCGGTCACCAAACCGGTTGGAAAGCGGCCGGTATTTAACTGTGGTCAAATTCGGTCAATGCCGGTCAGATCCGGTCAATTCCGGAAATTCCGGCCGATTAGACTAGAAACCGGAATTCAATGTTACACATATTTTATCCAAAAATAAACACCTTTTTTAGGATTTGAACCAAGTACCTCATGTTCATTGTAATCTCACTTATACACCAACAAGCTACAAGCAACTTTGGTGTATATATTAACCTTATATATTATATATCTAATACTTAATTTTACACAAATCATTATAAATATTAATAAAATTCATTTTATACTTTTATTTTTAAGCATCTAATTGTTTAGTATTAGTTACCAATTCTTAGCTATAAATTATTTTGTGTGAAATAATTTTTCTAATTGCTTTTTGATGACTAATTTATTTGGAATTATGGATTTCCATTTGTCTCATATATTTTATTAAAACCGGCACAACCGGCATGAATACTGATTATACCACGATCGGACCATTTCACTTTCAAAACCAACATACTGGTATAAACCGGTTTGATAACCTTGAAAAATAGTAAGCGGAAATAGCTCGCCTCTTTTCCCATTCCCATAAAATGGCGGGCGGAGGCGGATGGGCCTTCCTCCCTCCTTCCCTTCCCCAATTAATTTGATTGGTGGGATTCTCTGCCAGATGTTACCGTGCACGTTACCGCATCCAATCATCCCTCACAAACGACGACATCGTCCACCTATTGACCTGCTACAAAATGCCCGTCCCGGCTGCTCCACCGCCATGAGAAATCTCAGCCGCAAAGCGATCCTCTCATCTTTCAACACCGTCCACCGCCGCAGCCTCGCCGTTTCACCCGGCCATCCCCAAATGGCAGCCACGACGACAACGATTGAAGCGAAACGGGGAGGGTCAATTGACGACAAGGAGGAACAGGAGCAGGCGAAGGATAAGGCGATTCCTCCTCCGCCGCCGCCGGAGAAGCCTGAGCCGGGAGATTGTTGCGGCAGCGGGTGCGTGAGATGCGTGTGGGACGTTTATTACGAAGAGCTGGAGGATTACAACAAAGCGTACCCGACCGGCGGATCCGCATCCAGTTCGCAACCTTCTTGACGGCGAGCGGCTATCGACCTTGCTTTCAGCCGTGGGATTGTTCCTTTCGATTTTCATCCCTACTTTCTATTATTTCGATTTGTGGGCTGGAGAAATTTCTCCGATTTGTGATTATCATCATCCAAAACATGGCTCCTTGTGCCTTGACATGGCTTCTTTGAGAGGTAAGTATAAGGATTCAGTTGCAAGATTCAGTCTTTTGCACAAATCTGATTTATTTTTGACCGAATTGCTACTCGGGAACAACAACAGAAAAAAATCGTTGGGTGGATCGGCCTCTGCAGATTTTGTTACTGTTATGTGCGTTGCTGGTATAGAATCAAATTCTCTTCTTTGAATCAGTTTTCCAACCAGGTCAACACTGAGACCTTCCGCTTCACAGTGGATTGGCATTCTGCAGTTGATTTCATCAGGTGCAAGGCTGCCATATTGATCATTTTGTCTGGTTTGTGAGTGTAACTACAGCATGGAAAGAGAGATGTCATCTGGTTTCCGGAGCTAGCAACAGCAGTGATGATGTTTTGGTTGGTGTGAAGTTTGCAAAAGATAGAAAAGAATGAAACACAGAAAGATTTAACATTGAGAGGGCTAACTTCACCAGAAGATAGATATAGTAATGTTGAGACAATGTTGATCTGTTCCTAAAAGCTTGTGTCGTCCAACACAAACAACGTGCTAGGAACTATCAATACCCAGAGCTAAAAATTGCAATTTCCCCTGTTCAAGCAAAACTAGAAAAAAATTGTTCACCACCAACAACCACTTCAATCAAGTCTAAAGCTCAACACCTCAAGAAAGGTCTCCTGAAAAAGATTTTAACTGCCTTCTCCATGTCGAAAGTTCATTATTACACTCCGCTAATATGGCCGGCCTTCCAAGAAACTACCGCCGATTGCTCAATTCTACATAGCCATTTCACAACAGCTTAATTTGGCCTTTTTACCTCCTGTGATAAGAGGGACGTTAATCTGCGAGCCAATGAAACCAAGGGGGCGCAAAGTAACAGAAACCCTGAATGAACGACAGGCTACCATTTCGAAAGAGAAGCTGATGACCTGCTCCTTGACCTCAGTCTTCCTTTCTTACCTGAATTGTCATCATCAATTCGAGGGCCAAGACGTGTTCTCAAACCCTCACTAACAGGAGGTCGCTTGTCTTTTGGACTGGGACTTTGTATAGGAGGGCTCTGGCTCCTGCTGCGAGCTCTGTTCCTTCTTCCATGATAATTTCTTGGGTTGCTCCGAGATCTGCTCCTACTTCTACTTCTCCGACGTCCATATCTGCAATGTATGGTTGGGTTTTAGAAATGGTTGAGTTGATATATGATATAAAATTATTTTCTGAAATAAAAAGCAATTGGCGAGTGATGCATGGTAGATTGTTCATTAACAGGACATTCAGAGATGAGTATTACAAGTAAAAATATATTTTAATTTCAAAGGGAGTAGCCAAATGAAATTTATTAGTGAGGCAACATTTAGATCTAAATGATCTGTGGAATTTAGGGTAAATAATTGTTTTAAAAAGTTATACTGAACAAGTATGTTCATTTTAGCTTTTGCTTTCAAGCCAAACTCTTTTTAAGTTCATTATTTTCTAGCCAAGACAAACATACCCGAAGTATCTAACATGCAATTCTATTTCATTCATGATTTAGGAGCATAGACTAGATAGAGAGTGAAACCAGAAACAAAACCTAGGGGGACTCCTGCCTCTTGCTAGGCTTCTATAACGTCTATATGGTGAATGTGCCGAATAATTTCGATAGCTTGAGTACCTGAACAACAAATAGGAAAAGCATAAGATAGGCAATCCTAATTTCAAGCCCCAAACAAGTTTTGTAATGAAGTTAAAATGCACCAGATTATGATATGATATACCTGTCATTGTTCCTTTCATTGACATTTCTTCCCCCATAATAGAAAGACCTCCGTGGGCCCTCGAGAGAAGGGGTGCGGTATCGACGAGCAAAGAAATATTGTTCGGTGAAGCCACGTCCTTTCTTAATGCGTTTGGTAACAACATCAGGAGATCGGCTTCGTGACTCAACAGCTCGTCCTCGGTTACAACAGACCTTTTACCAAGACTCCTATCTTCACTTCTCAATTTTGGACTCCGAGAAGCTTTTTGGGGACTTTGGCTCGGGATGCGCCTCTGGCTGATGTTTGGTCTCCTAGGGCTTGGCGTGACGCTCTTGTGTAAATCATATGAAGAGGGGCACTTACATGAGCTCTAAAATTATAAGGCAGAAACATGAGTCTATACAACAAAAAATTAAATGATGATTACATAATTGGATATATCTGAGTCGTGAGAATAAGAGCGAATAATAGTATTTCCATCTGCTTTAGAATCTATATCATGCCCATTATTCGGAAGCTTCTTTCGCTTCAGATACAATTCCCCTTCTTCATGGGGGAGAATTCACTTCAATCGACGACTTCTGTTTTCCATTCCCTTTGTATTCTGCAGCTTTCTCCGATTGTTGACCACGAGACTTTTTCATTTCATCTGCGTACCATAATAACCCATGAGACAAATATAAAAGGTGGACAAGTTAGATGAAAAGTGCATGCAAGTATTGCCATGTCCATGTGATGACAGGTCATATATGAATTGCATACGATGATTGCATAGGAGAAAGCATATCAATATTCAACATTGACTTTTCAGGTATAGTAGAATTGTTGATTTGACGAGAGAGAACACGATCAACTTGATTGTCTTCAGAATTGCTGCTTCTGCTACTTTCAATTTCAGAATCACTTCCGCTATCCGAACTCTTGAAAATATAACTATCAAAATAGACAATAAAAGATAAAGACCTAGAGGGTGTTGTTACAATAAATACAATATCAAACCGTTTAGACTTGCGCCTGGATCTCTTATCACGCCTACTCCTCTTTTTCTCCTTTTTCTTGTCCATCCTTTTCCTCTTGCCTTGGCGTTTACCTCTTTTTGAGGACTTCCTCTTCTTGTGTCTTCCATCACAAGAACTTGAATCAAATGATGAAGAATCTGAGTCTGAAGATTCAGAATCTGAAGATTAAGATTCTGACTCGGAAGCTGAGCTGTATGAATCAGATGAAGAGTATCTCTTTCTTCTTTTTTTCCTTATATTCTTCAGTGATTTTTTACGTCCTCCTTTAACCTTTCCATCAGAACTATCATCTGAAGCAGCCTTTCCAGATTTCTTTTTTCTTCCTGCACAACTCACATCGTACTTCATAAGGTCAGTCTTAAATCATTGGATTGCATGTACTACATTTGTTCTTACTTGAACAACCATAAGGATACTTGAATCCTTTCCCACAGTATGAAGCTTAGCCTCGAAAGTTTCGCCACAATCCACAACTCTTACAGGTCGAAGAGGATCCCTTTAGTTGTTCCTACCTGTTCAATTTTCTTTAGTATATCCAGTCCTTTAACAACCTTCCCAAAACAACATGTTTCCTGCATACATGTAAGAAATCAGAATCTAGGGAAATAATCCAGTGATACTTAGCAACTAATATTGCAAACAATTAAATAACTCCAAATAAATTAGGATCAAGTACCCATCTAGGTGAGGTTGACTCTTATAAGTAATGAAAAATTGAGAACTGTTCATGTTTGGGCCACTATTTCCCATAGAAAGTATGTCCGGTCCATCATGCCTCAATTTAAAGTTCTCATCTGCAGCAAAAACCATTCTGTTACTAAGAGCAAAGAGATTAACCATCAAGAAACAAAATTCATGATAAAGAAGATTAACCTGAAAATTTCCCGCCATAGATACTTTCTCCACCAGTACCTGTCAGGTAAACAGAGTCGGCCCATTGAAGTGTGCAGACTTAGGATATCGTTCTTCACTCAAACACTATTGAGAGAGAAAAAAAAAGCTTACCATTTCCCTTTGAGAAGTCACCACCCTGTCAATAAAGGAATGGCCAAAAATAATGTAAGCGTATACAAAAAACTAAATAATATAGTGAATCATATGCAAGTAAGTGGCCAAAGATACAAAATGGTCACAGGTTAAGAACATTTTGTTAGTAAAGTGCCTGATATGATTATTAAGGTAAGGTTAAGATGACTAAGTTGCCGTCCATGCAAATTTTCAAACTAACTTCTAATCTTTACTCGTTAGAGAATAGAAGGCTCCCTTATATACAAGGACTCGAGCCAAACTTTGTTCAAGATAATATCCAAGCACAAACATTATAGCATCCAATGGAGGTATAAGTAAAAGGGAAAAATACATACCTGAGCCATGAATCCTTTAATTATACGATGTAAAGAGTAGGGATGGCAACAAAACCCGAACCCATGGGTACCCACCCGACCCAACCCGGTCAACGCTGGTAAAACCCTTGTTGACGGGTTTTGGGCCGGGTTCGGGTTTAAACCCGCTACACTATTCACCGTGTCGGGTTGAGTTTGGGTTTAGGTAAACCCGCCCCATCGGTACCCGCTCACACACATATAATTAATTTCTCGGTATATTTAATATTCTAAATAATATATCTTCCTTAAACAACTAATATTCTTTATGTTTGTGGAGACATGTATAATTTGTTATTTCTAATTGTTTAGAATGAAGTTGATATTATGAAGTGAAGAAACTTAGTTGACGAGGAAGAAGCTTTCAATTAATCTTATTGTTTATAGATGTTTATCTTTAATTTTGAACAATTTGTATTGATCATTTGCGGTTTGCTTGTATGCTCTAGATTGGTGTTTTTTGTATGAATAATTTGTATGTGAAAATTGATGTTAAACTTTTATTTTGAAATAAACTTGTTATTGTAAATTTTTTACCACAAAAACCCACGGGTACCCATGAACCCGCGGATACCCAGCGGGTTGGGTTGGGTTTGAGTTTTTCAAACCCAGCGGGTTTTACCCCGGGTTTTTTTGGCGGATAAATCCATGGGTTTGGGTTTGACAAAACCCGCCCCAACCCGACCCATTGCCATCCCTAGTAAAGAGGATCCTTTGTAGTGTAGAGATTTTCCAGTAGTATCCCCAGTTCCCTTCTCCCCTGACATTGGCAACAATAGAAATGAATCAGATATGCATTATAATTGTTAAAAATAGATACCAATGCTTCAAAGATGTTGAAGCACATCTCGACTAGATACTTTTTTTTTATAAGCAACAGATAAGTATTTCATCAGTTCGGCATGTCATAAGAGAAATAAATCAACAGTCCTACAACATTTCATAGTGATGGAGTGTGGCAATCACAATAAAAAGGTTAAATTAAAAAAATGATGGAAATGAACAGTCAGTAGGCAAGTTCACGGCAGTCGTAAGAGTAGTGCTTGTGACAGTGCAGCTAACTGCAATTTGTGAATAACACACTGACAACTCTACTTACCAGTGCACAGCGCCCAAAAATTTTCTGTAGTCCTGGGAACAACATCCGCAAAGAGCTGCACTTGGAGGAATCAATGTGTTATTATTACTCTAGCTCTGGTGTTACAGAAGGAACAGTGGACAAACTTTGCCAAAATACACCCTTCCAGATTACCTCAGTAACAATTCTTTCAGCAGGATCCCTATCGATAGACAAATAAAAAAACATGAAAGGATTTCTTTTCTTGCTCATCTTTGCTTTCCCTGTAACACGGAAGTAACTCTTCAAATTGCACGCAACTTAGGTAAACATTCATTATTAGAGAAATTGTACAGATGCAAATAGCGAGGCACACATCCATCGTCCTATAGAGAAAAATCAAAGAGGAACTGGGAACAAAACCATAATGGCATATCCTACAAACAAAATATTAGGGACAACATTCCATTCTGAAACGATAGCTTCATTCCACAAAGCAAAATAGAATCTTGGATCTGTATAAGAACAGAAGGTTCTTGAGGGAAAGTAAAACCCTAAATCTGGGTTCCAATAATCTTTCCGGAAGTTTAGCCGCCAGTCGAGGTCTATCAGTTTTCAAGTTAGCGCCAGCATCCAGCAAAGCGGAAACGCAAACTAGTACAATAACGCATCATTGTTGCAATAACTGAGATAAAGGGAAACAAAGAAAAGATTGGCAATTGTTTCGCCAAGGGGAGATTTGAAGTTCAGATTAGACCTGGCAAATTATAATCCGACCCGTTGACCCGACCCGAAACCGCCCGAAAACTAGAATTTTTTTGTAACCCGAAATCCGAATGACCCGAACCCGATAACCCATGATTTTTTGGGTCGGGTTGGGTGGGTTAGCGGGTCGACCCGTTAGACCCGTTCCATTTAATATATTACTCCCAAATATGATAAAATCACTCATAAATTGGTGAGATGTTTCAAAAAAATCACAAGGATTTGAATGACATGTTTGGAGTTTAAGGGTAATCAAATATCAAGTGTTTCTTGTATTAGTTTTACTCTTGTGATTGTTTTTTGACGATTTCCGCAATTTATATTTCATTTCATTAGCGTGGGAGGATTTGAGAATATGTTAATTGACATGTGTTGGTAAACTATTGTCATGCATATGTGAAAATTTGTGTTCTTTAAGAAATATGAAGCAGATTTGATATTGTTTCTGAGAACGCTCATAACCCGAAATGACTCGTAACCCGACCCGAAACCGAATGAGTTGGGTCAATATTTGAACCGAAATAAGCCAAGCAAACATGACCCGACCCGTAACAGAAGTTCTCAACCCGAAACTACCCAACCCGACCCGATTGCTAGGTCTAGTTCAGATGAAGGATAAGCAAGCAAGTCACCTTTGGTTGGAACAAAAGGGGAAGTAAACAAATTGGAGAAGAAAGAAGATGACGCCGGTGACTGTAATCGCCGGTGACTCAACTCTGAAGTGGGGAAATCTCAAACTCAGTTGATGAACGGCCGTTGCTGCCTTTGTTAGCTCGTTGTTCACTTGTTTGTGGGAAAGAATTCTGTTTTTCTTTCTTACTCGAGGATTTGGGCTTCCGGTAATTTGACGGTTCTTTTTCTTGCTGCACTATGTATCTATATAATTTTGACTTGTACTATTGTGACATTTTTTACTTGTTTTGATGCGAGGTGGTATGAGTACCCTCCCTCGAGCACTTCTACTATGCTTTAAAGCATGAGTGCTTTAAGTTGTACCATAACGTTAAAGATACAAATTGAAGTTGTACCATAAGAGAATTTGGACCTTTATGTTATGGTACAAATTCAAATTGTACAAATTGTACCATAACATAAATGTACAACTTTTGTTTGTACCATCAAGAGATTTACAAAAAGAGTATAGGTACAACTTGAAGTTGTACCATAAGGTTAAAGGTATAACTTCAAGTTGTACCATAAAGGCTAAAAACTAAAGCACCAATGCTTTAAAGTATTATAAAATTACTCACATCCCTCACCTTCCTTGACATGTCTCATTCTAGATCATTATTGTCTAAATTATATGTAATTTCAAAAAAATATTTAAAATTTCACTTTTATCGTATCATATTTTAGCTATAATAAAGTTGTAAATAGATGAGAACGTCAATTTCTTGAATGATTTAACTACACTTATTATGTTATAGTTTATTTTTGAAATTTTAATGAAAACAAATCAATGTATGAATTGTATTTTTGTTACAATGCATACCCGTATAGGTCAATCTGCCCCGACCCACGCCCCATGACAATATACCCGACCTAGGCTCCACCTGCCACGGAATATGTATGGGATGAGTGGTGATGGATTCATACATCACAAACTTCACAATTCTTTTGTCATCTCCATTTTTTGAGATTATTCCTAAAATCACATTCAATGTTTGTTACAGCCGCTTGGAGGGGAAGAAGGAGTAGTCGAGCCAAAGAGAAGGTTTGTGGCTTCGTGATGGCAACCAAGTGCTAGGTATGTGGTCATGGAGAGTAGTGTTGGATCTGGGTGTCGGGGGAGTGGAGTGTTGGCGATGGGCGACGAATTTTTGGAAGCCATCGCCGACAGGAAGAGAGGATGGACGATAATTGAACTGGATCGTTTCTCTGCCACTTGAGGAAGAGGAGTTTTGGGATGAGATTGGATCATCGAGATACCAACACAAAGAGGCAAGAGATAGCTATTAAAGTTGTGTTGGGCCTTGAAATGGCGCAATTCGATTGGATGTTCGATGGTTCAGTTCGTGATGGTCTTAATCTAATACCGCATTTTAGCTAATAGCTATCGATTTCCAAACCAATAAATGGTTACTTGTAAAATTTGAAGAAAATTTCTGAAAAAAGACAGACACACACACAAACAACTTATCTCATAGATTGTTTATTAATCTATTATAACTTGAAAATACCATAACCTCGGGGTTGACACCGCCATCTGCACTCGAGTTGAGGATTTCGATGTCTTTCTAGATGGCAACCTTTTGACCTATTGTACTCATCAAGACTTATAGAGGAGTCTAATTCCTTTTCAGGTTGCAACTTGATGCCCTTTTGAGATTAGCATCACCAGCTGTAGAGGATCCACCAAAGGTTGCTTACATGCTGCCTCCACAGTACCATCTGGCCCGAGCCAAACCATCTTCATTGGCCCATGGAGTTGGTCCTTCCTCCTCCATCTCAGTTGATGCTAGGCTCATCAACTTGGAGGGCCATTTTTCCGGCCTAGTTACCCGTCTTGACCGAGAGAGGGATGCCCGCCGTCATTCATACTACATGGGGCAGCACCTCAAGGCCCGACAAGGACTCAACTTCAGGTGCTCTAGATGGATCCCTTCTCCTCTTCACTATCCGAAGAGAGCTAGGGATGATGATGATGATGACCGTGTTTAATTGCCATTCTTGGCACCGTACCACCACCTCTTTTCTCTCAACTTTGGCTATTGCATTTTTTTATATGTTTGAATTTTGATTCGAGTTAGATTATACACATTTGTACCCTTTTATCTTGCAATGTTTTATGTGTTTGCACTGTCCTTGGAGCAATTTTACGCTAGTTTTATTTGTGTTGTGTCATGTTTCAGAGTTTAACAGTTAATTTTGGCACCGGGATCGAAAGTTGGACAAAATAGGGTGAAAAGAGAGCAATTTGGACCAAATTGCAAGGATCACGGTTTTGGGATGATTATCTCAAGTGGAAAACCGTGAAGTCTGCAAAATTCTATGATCTTTGGACATCTCGCAAGCTTGTCAGATGTCATGGTTTCCAATGACATGACAATGTGAATGAATTATTTGGCATATCTATCAAATGCTTTGGAGCCATGTTTATTGCCCAAGTTTCAAAAAACTGATGGCTCCAAGCACATTTGGATGAATGATTGTCTTATGGCCTATATTGAAAGTGTTTTGGAACTTTGTTTATATGCCAAATTTTCAAATATGAGGGTTCCATATACCTTGTCTTACGTATGATTCCTACTCATTGTGCTTTAAATTGTTAGATGTCATGATGGTTTGCATTCTAGAGAGGATAGTGTAGCGATAGGGTGGATGTTGGTACACAAGAAATTTAGCCTCCAGTTCCTCTTTGGTTGGTTGATAATATTGACTAGTGATGGTTAGTACATATGTGTTGGACTCTCTCTCCTTTTTGGACTCGAAAAGTTTTAGCAAAAGGTGCTTCATTTTTAATGTGTTGTAAATGAAAACAAGAGTGTCTCATGTGTTGTGGCTTCCTGGAATAGTGATTAGTGAATCTCTCTAAGGGTTTATCTAAAATCGGTTTACGTTTTGAGGATGTGTAAGGGAGACAAGGATATCATTTCTGAACTTCACCTACTATTGTCCATCCTCTCTTATACCTCTCCTCCTCACAGTCTTTGATAGAGAAGAGACATTTCTTATGCTCAAGTCCAGAGGCCTCAAATCTTGACTATCTTACATGTGTGACAACCCATTGCTAACTTAGACTGGTCGTCATACATCATGTCTAGGGATGAGAGTGCATTTTGGGAAGCACTTTCGTGTAAAGTAAGTTTAGGATCTTCTTCCATCATAACCAAGTCATACTACCTTCTAGCCTCAATATACACCTTTTTTCTCGTATGGGCTTGATAGGGAAGTGGATGTCGCTGCAACTCTTGCTAATGAGATGGAGCCCTTGTTTCTGCGAAACTGCAGGTGTGATGCCATTAGTGGCAATGTAGGTTGAGGCTAAAAAGTTTGAGCCCTTTTAAGTAGGAGCACCACCATCGAGTTCATTATATTCAGCCATTTTTAGAGTCCTTTCATGCACATGTCATGTGTCTTGGGTTCACTAGTCAGCTAGGTCCCAATTTAAATTTGTGTTTCACATCGAGGTGGAGGTGAGATATTTCTTCGCCATTGGAGCTCGGAATCAAGCCCGGACTTGAAGATTGATCATCTGAAGATTCTTACTGCAGTCTCTCTCTTCTCTATGGAGTAACTTCCCTTCACTTAGGTTTTGAGGAACCCTAGCCATGTTTGTTTGATTGGATGATTGTATGAGTACTCTGACTTGATAATCTTGA